CAGTTAGTTTGGTGAGCCACAACGTCTTGCTGTCAGTCAATGGCTACGCTCGCGTCAAAGACTGGAGATCACGATCCAGGACGGGCGTGGCAACTTTGGCTGACTTGATCTGATTGGGCAGGAATACAGTCTACTACCCAATGGTGGAGTCTCCATCTCCGTGCTGAGAAAAGGCGTTCAGGTAAGACAACGCCCCTTTCAGAACATATGTGAATAAATTATGGGATGTGCTACCAGAAGTTGTAATGTCAGCCAGCCTTGATGGTTTCAAATAAGGGATGGATAGCTTTATGAAGGATTAGGCTATCAATGGCTACCAATGATAATTCCTGAAGCAATGCATGTCTGAAATAAGATTGTTGAGAAGCAATTGTCCTTTCAACAAAGTGACACAATGTAGTCTTTGATCTCTTTAATTCTCTGTAAGCCTCACTCCCTTTTTTTCCTGGTGCTTGACTGTAATTAATAGTGGAATACTGGAAAGTGGCATATAAAAACATGATCATTCTTTGAATGATCATCTGGAGAGATGCTTCTCCAGTTAGAGAGTTTGCTGTATTTCAAGTAAAATGGTTGGGTTTTAACTGAGTTTTTGATATCATGACGATGATGATGATGATGATGATGTAACTTCCACCAGATAACGCCTGCAAAATGGTGTCATTCTTTTTAATAGAATGAAGAGAAAAGAAACCTATCTTTGGGAGGCCATGTTGGATTTGACAGTCTTCCTGATCAACTTGTCAGCAAATCAGTGGTGCAAGGTTTCAGCTTCAACATCCTCTGTGTAGGTCAGTAAAGTGTTTATTGTGAAGAGGAATGCTTAGAATCTGAATAATAGCCAGAAGTTGCCACGTTATAAGGGTAAAGGGAAAGCTTACTAGAAAAGTATCTAAAAGTCTATTGCACCATCTCAGCTAAAAGATCAGGTAGAAGATGATGCAAAAGGGAGCTTGTAAGGGAACTTCCTGTATTCTTCTACTATTAGCTAGGTTCCCACATTATTTTAAACCATAATGTGATTTATTTGGATTTTTGCCCAACTGTTTTATGGGAACTTATGTGTTCTGACTTACACAATACATTGCATCAGTATATAAATCCAATTGATTTTTCAAATTGAAACAACTACAGTATAGCTAATGTGCTAAGAAATTAAACTTTCCAAATGTGGTTTATCACATGCTGTGTCTTGGAATGAAGCTAAATCTTTTTCCAGAATCTTGACCTCGTTTACATTTTTTCTGAGTGAGAACAGAACCCAGTTTGAAACATTTACGTGAATAATGTCATTTTGCTCCATTGAGTGAATGAACTTTTGGTAATCAAAATGAAGGCTCAACTATCTAATTCTGTCACTCTTCTGGCTCCTTATGTGTCCAGGATTGAGTTTCTACAACTCCTGGCTTGTTATGTATAGAAATTGTAGCTTTAAAATATTTAATGACTTATTAAACAAACTGTTTAGTTTTAGATACCAAAAATATTTTTATTTATGGAAAAAGTCTTATACAATTTAAGCTGTGCTTTAAAAGATATTTACATTTTTAAGTTTCAACTTTCACTTGCTGGTCTTCATTGTCTGTCAGAAGATGTAATGTGATGCCTTTACTATGAAAAGGAACATTTTAAGCTTTGGTTTTAAACTCCTCCCTCACAATTTAAGTTTCTTGATATGTTCTGCATTCAATAGTGATTAGTGTTGGAGTGATGGAGATGAATTGCTGTATTAAACAATCTGGGATAGCTCTGAATGTTTCTTTGTTCTTTTATTGTAGTTTGGTGCCACTCCAATAATTCAGTTCCTTTCTTTAATGAAAGTTTAATTTAATGAAAAGAAAGAATGGGGATGTCATGATAGCAATGTTCCAATATCTAAGGGGCTACCATAAAGAAAAGGGGGTCAACCTATTCTCCGAAGCACCAGAAAGCAGTACAAGAAGCAATGGATTAAAACTAATCAAGGAGAGAACTAACCTAGAAATAAGGAGAGATTTCCTGACAGTGAGAACAATTAACCAGTAGAAGAGAGCTTGCCTTCAAAAGTTGTGGGTGCTCCATCACTAGAGTTTTTAAGAAGAGATTGGAGAGCCACTTGTCTGTAATGGTACTATAGAATCTCCTGGCTAAGCAGAAAGTTGAACTAGATGACCTCCAAGATCCCTTCCAACTCTGTTATTCTGTTTTTCTTACACATGCATAGAGTAGTTGCCTGCCATATCCAGGAGCAAATATTTCTATTTTCCATTTTGTATTCATTTCTAGACTCACATGATCTTCTGACTTTGTTCCATCAAGATTTTTTTATGCATGTGTTATTATGATTCTTATATTTGTATTTGCTAGTTTTTTATCTACTGCTGTGTGCCCCCCAAAGTCACCTTTTTGAGCTGGGCAGCTATATAAATTTGATAAATAAAATAAAATGTATTAAAATGTACACAAATTCCTGAAATGATGTTTTTGCCATTAACTACAATTTTAAAGATTTTTTTTTTTAAAAAAGTTGTGATTATGTTTGTTATAATGAAAAGTAGAATTCTGTTCTGGCACTATAGTTTGTTCTGAATCATGTTGAGATTCTACAGATATTTTGCCTTACTATTTCTGATGTTTTGATGCTTTTCCATTTTATATCTGGAAAAGTATCCCAAGTCCATAGTACAAAGGACTAAGCTTTATCAATTGCTGAACATTTAAATATAAAAAGATAGTATTATGTTTCTTCAGGATGCTCTTTTCTTTTTTAGCATTTGTTGATCACCGATAGTGTTAATGTTTCTTCAGGATGCTCTTTTCTTTCTTTCTTTTTTAGCATTTGTTGATCACCATTGGAATAAACATTTTAATCTTTTTAGGTGAAACAGGCATTGGGAAATCTACCCTGATGAACACTCTTTTTAACACAACATTTGAGACAGAGGAAGCTACTCACTATGAACAGATAGTCCGTTTACGGGCACGAACGTATGATCTGCAAGAAAGCAATGTCCACCTAAAGCTGACCATTGTAGATGCTGTGGGCTTTGGAGATCAGATAAATAAAGATGAAAGGCAAGTTACTTTCCAGTTTGGTCTAGAAACATTTGCATTGTTTTGATGGGAAAAGGATGTGTATATTCCTGGAATACAAGACATTATTTATTGTGCTTGTGATCGGCTGCTTATAATATCTGCAATGGATAGCTTAGACAACACAACAGTCAGGAAGAAGAGAACAATAATAGGAAATTTCAGATGTCACCCAGATAAAATACAATCCATTGCCATCTTGTGGCTAAGCTATAACATTATCCATTGCCAAATTTAATAACATTTCCATGAGACTTGGTAGGAAACCAAACAGTTAATGAAGGCTCTACTTTTTTTTGATTCTGAGCCTGCAAGTTGTAGTCATTCTCAATTTCTCCACTGGCTCTAATGTAAATTGCTGGGTTGTGCACATGTTGAAAGGAAGATGAAAGAGTGAGGCTTTGGAGCTCTTTTCCCCCCTCAGATATCCTGATTCCCTTCCTCCCATTTCCCCACAAAACTAGTTGGCTGGAATCAATTTTGTTCATTCCATTTGAGAAATGGCAGCTGCTATACCACTTCTTTCCAAAATAAAGCAAGGGTGCTAGTATCTGCTGTATGTTCCAATGCTGAACAGCAACAGGAGAGTACTGTTGTTTTTATATCCGACATATGAGTTTCCCAGAAGGTCATCATAGGAAACAGTTATTTAATGCTGACTTTGGCTCCCATGGTGTTCAATTCCCAAAGGTTCTAAATGACTTCCAGGATTTTGTAATATGGGTTTCATGTACAGCAAAACTTGTATTTCAAGTCAAAATGTAGAAAATGTCCTAGACTGAAGTTTATGCAGTTAATCCGTGATTTGATTTGTACAGCACTTGAGAATCAAATACTAGTCTAAAGAAGAATTTAAAGCAAAGATTTTTAGGGTGACCTGAAATTGATGAGATATGCTTGTTATTTTTATTGCAAGGAACTCCTCCAGTCAAGTTCTTGGTGTGTCCCCATAGTGTTCATTTAGCCATAGGATTTATATCCAATCTTTGCTCCAGAAGTTTAGGTCATCAAACACTCCCTCTTTCAGTTTCTATGTTTTCAACAATCTTGTAAGATATGTTGGTCTGAGAGATTGCCCAAAGTCATTCGGTGAACTTCCATGATTTCCAATAGCTGTATTATGCATGCAGAACTTCATTCACAAAAAGAAGCAGCCAAAGATCATTGTTGTCGGAGTAGAAGATGCAGACTAGGAAGACGTTGCGCAACAGGAAAAGTATTTACTGCTTGTAGAAGGGCATTCCAGTTGTGTAATCAATCTTTAGTTTAGGGGTAGTTGGGCTAGGGCGAACTATGATTGCTGTAATCCTGGTATTGGAATGCATGATTGACAGATATTGTCAGATTATAGTTCCCAGTGGTATGCACCAAAACAGCCAATAGTGCAAGATCTTTGAAGGTAAAATCCAGCACTAGTTCAGAACTAGTTTAGCATTTTGTACATGCCCGGTATTTTAGTTTAGTCTGTTTCAGCCAGCACTAGAAGTTGTTCAACTTTTTTTTTAGTCAGATTTTATGAAGGTTGGTGGATGGAAACATGCATACTTGTTGAACATGTTTAGTCATTCTTCGTAAATGGTACCATTCAAGTTGCTAATGGAATTCGTTTTTAGTTACAGGCCAATAGTAGATTACATTGACACGCAGTTTGAAAATTATTTACAAGAAGAGCTAAAAATCCGGCGTTCCCTTTTTAATTATCACGATACAAGAATCCATGTCTGCCTTTATTTTATCACCCCAACTGGCCATTCACTGAAGTCCTTGGATCTGGTGACCATGAAAAAGCTGGACAGCAAAGTAAGTATCCCCACATCATCACAAGTATTGGCTCCTGTCTTCCTTCTCCCTTATTATCAATCTTAATGATGTGCTTGGTTGGGAGTTTTCCTTCTGTCGTCTGAAAGCATAAATAAATGTCAGATAATTTGAACAAAAACTTTATAGAACTCTAACCCAGGGTTAGGCAACCTTGGCTCCTTTATGACTCGTGGACTTCAACCATGCTGGCTCAGGAATTCTGGGAGTTGAAGTCCACGAGTCATAAAAGAGCCAAGGTTGCCTACCCCTGTTCTAACCCTTCTCTTTATCAGAAGATCTTCTTTTCCATCTTCCCTCAGAAGAATTGTATAAACACTGTTCCCAGTTTTTATGAAACTTCATCATCTTCACTTTATTGGAATTATTTTAACCAAACATTAACCAAATGTTTTTCCATTACTTTGGCAATTCAAAATGATGACGCAGCCTCAGTGTTACAAACTGCAGCCTACTGAGATATGAACAAAATAAAGTGAGGGTGATTGTATGTGGTGACAAGTCATTATTGCTGACCTTAGAACATTTCAACAGCTAGGTGAAAAACATAGTACTGGAGAAGTAGCAGAGAAATAAACCCCATGATTCAGGTTCTATGAGT